ACAATGTTTTTAATGTGCTAGTACAGGGCTTGAACCATCCTGGGCACCGTCCCTTAGCCTTTTCACTCAAGGCTGGCGCTCTACCACTTGAGCCACAGCACCATATCCAGTTTTCTTTTTTTTTTTTTTTTTGATGGTTCATTGGCAATGAATCTCAAGACTTCCCTGCCTAAGTTGGCATTAAACTGTGATTCTCAGATCTCAGCCTCGTGAGTAGCTAAGATTGCCGGGTGTGAGCTACTAGCAGCCTAGCTTCCATTTATGTTTTTTAAAAAGGGCTGCTTTCTTCCTGTGCAGAAAAGCTACAGCTCTACGCTGAGAGGAATGCCATCGTCCTTAAAGAACGGCGTCATCAGTGACCAGGAATTACTTCCCAGGAGAAACTCGCTCATACTAAAACTCAAGCCAGACCTGCTCCAGCACACCGACAGCCAGCACAGTGAGATGGAGCAGTATTTCCAAGAGTGGTTTTCCAAACCAGTCGACCTGCATGGCGTTATTCTGCCACGTGTCTCTGGAACCCACATAAAGCTGTGGAAACTGTGCTACTTCCGCTGGGTGCCCGAGGCGCAGATCTCCCTCGGGGGCTCTATCATGGCCTTCCACAAACTCTCCCTCCTAGCCGACGAGGTGGACATGCTCAGCAGGATGCTGCGGCAGCAGCGCAGTGGCCCCCTGGAAGCCTGCTATGCCGAGCTGGACCAGAGCAGGATGTACTTCCGGGCCCGAGGCCCGCACGATGCCTCGGCCACACCCGACTTCCTCTCTTCGTCCTTCCCGTTTTCTCCCGTGGGGAACCTGTGCAGGCGGAGCATCTTAGGAACACCGTTAAGCAAATTTTTAAGTGGGGCCAAAATATGGTTATCTACTGAGACGCTAGCAAACGAAGACTGAATTGTCGAGTTCCTCCTGAACATCGTGAGGGAAGCCTGTCAGTTCTTCCCTCCCGATCAGAATTGCTAACATAGGCATTTAAAACAGGTTATTTTATACCTAAGAATATAGTTGAAATTTGCACTAACCCTGAAAACCATGTTGAGTCATGTTCCCCACAGTTCTTTCCAGAAAAGTAAGTTTTGTTTTTATGTCTTTCTCCTGTCATTACCAGTCTGGCTTATTTTTGGGTGATCTACAAACATTCCCCCTTTCTTGTAACTGTGATCAGATGGATCAGGTGAGTTGTACATGTTTTTCCTACCATCTACTAATCGTTAACCAATACTCAGCCTCATGACCAACTCAAGACAGGAGATGCATTCCTTGCATCTCCAGGGATGTGAGTAGATGCTAGATCATCCTGTGTCCTGCTCACGCTCCGTGATCCCTGCATGAACTCACCTGACCAGGGTCCAGTGTTGGGGAATTTGTTATTTTAGATCTCCCTTTGGGGCCTTACAGCACTGTGATTTGGAGTCAGGAGTTTGCTTCTAGCGCCATAGGACTGCCTTTACAGTGATACGCACTGCAGCGTTAAAACATTCGCTGTAGGTGGTGTGATTGGATTTAAAAGTGCCTTTGATATTAAGCTATGAATCACAGAAAAAGTTTATTTGTTAACATTCATGCATTATTATAATCCCACCACATCTGCAAATAGATTGTTCATACTAAGCTTCCTACCAGTAGCCCTGGGAATCCCCAGAGCCACGTTTCTAAAAGGTGCCAAGGGCCCAGCAGCCTTTGGGGTCCTGCTCCCAAGTTGAGGCAGCTGAGGGAACCCCCTCTCCACGGCAGGACCCCAGGGCAGTAGGGGCTTTCTGGGCCTCCCCCAACAATTCCATTTATTAATACTGCCGTTATCGTAAACCGCAGAAGTGCCACCCCCTTCCTAATTGACAATAGTGCCGAGAGATGTTTGCTCCTTTCTGAGATCCCTTTGGTTTCCCACTATGATAGAAGCCTGGCCAACACTGCAGGGTGAGCGCTTAAGACTAGCCCCATAGTAACAGCACTGCGCACACCCAATCCCCCACTCTCCGCCCCCCCACCAAGTTTAAAGCACAGCCATCTCACATTTGACTGTTTTCCTTTCTTAAATTGCCATCCTTCAATATTTTTTTTAAAAAAAATTTATAGTCAAGTGTCTGCTTAACCTATTCCCTTTTTAAAACAAGATGGTTGCTTTTTCAGACAGTCTGTTTACCTGCCTGTGTACGGACTAGCTGATTCTCCTTTCATCACCTGCCTTTAAAAAACAAGTTGATGTCTCTAACAGAGGTTGCTATACAATGTCTTAGGAGATTCATCTTAGGGATAAACCCAGCGTTTTTGCCAAGTTGTTTCCTAGAAACTAAGGGCTACTTCCAGCTAATACAAATAGCACTTTTGCATGATATATTTTATACCCCGATTAGAGGCCAGCCCTCTCAAGACACCATTCTGGCTGTGCTACTAATTCTTCCTTTCATTAAGCTGCTTTTTTTAAAAAGAAATTACAACTGGTTCTAAATTTATTGTTTGAGCATTTCTTCCCTTACATTTATTTCAACTCTAGCAATTTTTCCTTCTTGTTGGTGTTCGCTTACCAGTTTAAAAAAAGATTAGGTACTATTAATGCTATTTTAAAATAGAAAATGGGTGTATTTTTGTATGGTAAATTCAGTTAAGATTTTTTTTTAATTTTTGCTGGATAATTGTTCTATCATGATTATTGTGCCACACCTCAGCGTGCATAATATGAAAAACAATAACAGCCTTAAGCCTGGGCGGTGGTGATGGTGGTCGGGAGGCGTGGCTGTGTACAGCAAAGAGCTCCGTGCTGGCAGCCGCAGACTCTAGTGCTGAACGGAAAATCATGTGTGTTATTCTTCTATGATGAGAACCAATCTTAAAACCAAAAATGTCTAACTTCTATTTAAGTAAAAGATTTGAGTTTGTACTAACAGAGTGTGAAACCTTTTCAACGCTACCCTTCAACAAAGCCTTGTGGTAGCAGTATCCTTTGTTGTTAATACTTGATTGTATGACAAAACCGTTGTGCCTAGAACTCGTGAGCTGAAGTAGCACGCACAGGAAGGTGAGAGGTCGTGTTCAACAGAGTGGATGTGAAGGGCACTGACTGCTAAATAAAATTTCTAGCGGAACAGTGTGTTGTCATCAGTACGGGTCCATGCACAAGGGTGCAGTGATTAAAGACGGGAAGGCATCTCTTAGCTCACACGCTCATGCTAACCCTGCAGCCTTTTTGCTGGCCCTCCAAAAGGGGTGTAACTCAGTCACATTGGGCACAGTTCAGAATTCGTTGTAGTGGTGCCACATGGGTGTCGGTGGGCCACGTACTGTCTGCATTTCCTCCACTAGACAAAAACTGGGGAGCAAATAGTTTCTCCAGGAGGACCCTTGAATCCCTGAGAGCCTGGAACCCCAGGGGCTGTTGGTAAATGTTTTAAGAATCAGTTGTTGGCAAGGAGGGGGAAACTCCTATTTGGTTTTGTCAATTTGTAGTCCCTGTCATAGCTGATTCCAAATACCACAGTGGCAGTCATTGAACTGGGCGCTAGAAGAGAGCCCATTTTCCTCATGAGCTGGTATGCACTGGTACTAGCCAACACCTTTGATTGGTACCAGGGTTTGAATTCAAGGTCTCTTGCTTGCTAGGCAAGAACTCTTCTATTGTGTCACACCCCTAGCCCTTTTCGCATTAGTTAATTTGATGCAGTGTCTTGCATTTTGCCCAATCCTATGCCTAGACTGTGATCCACCTATTTTATGCTTCCTATTGAGCTGTCTTAATTTTCGGTTGTTTTCTTTTTGCTTATTTAAAATTTTTTTATCGTTATAAAAGGTGATGTACAGAAGGCTTAGTTATGTAAGTCAGGTAAAGAGTACATTTCTTTTGGGTCGATGTCCCAGTTTATCTTGGTCTAATTTTTGAAATAGGTGTGAGCTACAAGCTGAGCTTCTTGGGATGGAATCTTTGGATTTCTGTAACTGTGATCTCCATCTCCCCTGCCAGCTAATCTCAGCCTCCCACACAGCTGGCGTGGTGCTTACCACCATGCCCACAAGGGTCACGTACCCTGCATGGTCTAGAACCGTGATCCTCACAATTGCAGCCTCCCAAGTAACTAGGGTCACAAGTGAGTAGGTGCCAGCACCTGGCTAGATAAAAAGCTCTACAGAGCAAGGGTAATGGGCACAGGCAGAGCTTTTTTTTTCTAGCATCAGGACACAGATTTTTAGCACATGTATACACAATCCAAGAGTCTGACTGGCATAATGCTTCTGTAGTCAGATGCAAATATCTGACTCCTCCTTCCCAGGAAGCAGGTTTTAATTCCCAAAGCAATCAGAAAACAGAAAACAGTATCTAAATGTGTAAAGAAGTATAGAAAAATTTTGAAATTCAAAATGTTGTTTCCCAAATACCAGAATCAGAGTGCTACTTTTATAAAAGACCTAAAGCTGTGAGTGAATTGTGTTTGGTGTAGGCCCCCCACTCCAGCTTTTTATAACTAATAACACAAATCCACCCAATTACTAAAAAACCATTTAATCTCTTTTTTAAGTCCTCACCCACTGGAATTAGTGTTTTTGAGCAGAGGCCAAGTTCTGTGATGCACAGACACTGTACACTGATGAGTCAGAACTGCTGACAATTCAAAGGAGATACAGGGTAACATGCTGTGCGTGTACTATTAGTAGGACCTGGATGCTGTCCCTGAGCCCTTTTGCTCAAGTCTGGCGCTACCGCCTTGAGCTATAGCTCTACTTGTGGTTTTTTGGGGGTTAATTGGAGATGAGCCTCAACCAACTTTCCTGGCTTTGAACCCTGATCCTCAGATCTCAGCCTCCTGAGTGGCGAGGATTACAGACGTGAGCCACCAGTGCCAGACAAAGGCATGCTTTTCTTTTCTTCTTTTTTTTTTTGGTTGGTCATGGGCTTGAACTCTGGGGCTTGGCGCTGTCCCTCAGTTCTTCAGCTCAAGGCTAGCACTCTACCACTTGAGCCACAGCACCACTTCCAGCATTTTTTTTTCTGCTTATGTGGTACTGAGGAATCGAACCCAGGGCCTCATGTGTACGAGGCAAGCGCTCTACCACTGAGCCACCCTCCCAGCCCCAGGCATGCTTTTCTTATTGCACCCATATGTCGGCAAAACATTCCTGGCTCCATGGCCTTTAGGTAAGTCCTTTGCTCTTGGCTCCAACCGCAGCCACGTGGCAGACTTCCACATCAGCCCCGAGCTTCTGCAACTCATCCAGCCAGATCATTTGCTTATGTGAAAGACGATCGTTGGGGCCTTTAACTTCCACCAGCTGGAAGACAGAATTGTAAAAATGATTAGGGCCTTACTGAAAATAGTCACTCAAATAAGCTGTAGCCATTTTCACCACACACATCTCTAGCCAATCCTATGTAGCTGAGAAATTTGTTGAGAACATTGTGACTCCAGATTAGGTTTGTGTGTGTGTATGTGTACTGGTACTAGGGCTTAACTCAGAGCCTGGGTGCTGTTTTCTTTTATTCACTCAAGGCTAGTGCTCTACCATTTGAGCTGCAGCTCCACTTCTAGCCTTTGGATTTTTTCAGTTTTTTTTGCTGGTTAATAAAAGATAAAATAATTGGACCTTCCTGCCTAGGCTGGCTTCAAACCATGATTCTCAGATCTTGGTCTCTTGAGTAGCTGGGATTACAGGTGTGAACCATTCATGCCCAGTGAGGCAAATATTTCTCCATCAGTTAATCAAAGGTACCCATTAAAGAACACTTGAACTTGTCAAAATTTAACATGTCTGCCCATCAAAAGAGACTACTAAGAAAACAGAGATAAGCCACAGACTGGGACTGAGTGTGACTGAGAACTGGACTTGTGTTTAGAATGTGCATGTGTGCACGTGTGTGCATGTACACATACACACATAATAACATGATAGGGCACAGGACTGGGCTGAGGACAAGTGAGTTACCTGGACACCATGGTGTTCCCTCTCAGCAGCTGCCCACTCGCTGTGATTCCCCTGGAGAGTGGGCGGGGCCTGGTGACTGCTCCCACCCTGGCAGACAGGAAGTAACCTGTCTCCTGTCTCCTGTCTCACTGGCAGCCTGGCTCCTCTTGCGAGCACACCAGCTGCTCAGTGGAGAGGTCCAGGGGCCTCCGGTCCTCAGCCCAGGGGCTGTCAAGGAATTCAGTCTTGCCAAAAGCCTCAAAAGAAATGGCACGAGTGTGTGGTCCCTGACTCAACTGACAGCAAAAAAAACACAAAAGACTTTCACTCTGGCTCCACTGACCTTAACAAGACGACTCCCAGAGTTCCACACTACCAGGTCGGGGAGGCCCCCTCGGCAGTGCCGGAAGTCAGAGGCCAGGCGTCTGCACACGCCGCTGAGGATGGGCCCTCCCAGGCAGGAGACAAGATCCTGAACACAAAACACATGGGCCACGTCCGCGGACGGGTTATGAATGATCACATGGGGAGTGGGCCATGTCCGTGGACAGGGCTTATGAATGATCACATGGGGAGTGGGCCATGTCCCCGGACAGGGGTTATGAATGATCACATGGGGAGTGGGCCACGTCCACTGACAGGGGTTATGAATGATCACATGGGGAGTGGGCCACGTCCCTGGACAGGGGTTATGAATGATCACATGGGGAGTGGGCCACATCCATGGACAGGGCTTATGAATGATCACATGGGGAGTGGGCCATGTCCACTGACAGAGGTTATGAATGATCACATGGGGAGTGGGCCACGTCCCTGGACAGAGGTTATGAATGATCACATGGGGAGTGGGCCACATCCACGGACAGAGGTTATGAATGATCACACAGCCCCTGATCAGTTCCCAGGCCTCTGCGCAGGGTGGCCATGATGGGGAACAGCTGTTGGAGAGATTTGAATTCAGCACTCAGGGACAGGACAGCAGGCCTCCTAGAAGCCAGTAGTTACAGGGACATTGAATTCAGGGCTTGGGCACTGTCCCTTAGCTTCTTCCCTCAAGGCTGGAGCTCTACCACTTGAGCCACACATCTCCTCCTCCTTGGTGATTAGCTGGAAATAAAGAATCTCAAGGACTTTGCTGCTCAGGCTGTCTTCACACTGTGATCTCAGCCGCCTGAGGAGCTGGGATTCCAGGTGTGAGCCACTGGCCCCCAGCTATACCTGGGACTTTAAAATAAATGCTTGACTGTGTTCCCATCACCCAGGGCGCAGGAATGGGGTAGGTATTAACACAGGCGCACACAGCGCTGGAGAGGCAGCACGTCCTGACCAAGTGAACTGTTACCTGGGCTTGCTGGAGGGAGCTGAAGCGGTCCCAGCTGACGAGGGAAGCAGCCCTGCCTTCGTGGGCCCGCCACGCAGCCGCCACCCAGGCGCGCAGGCTCTCTCCGGGGGCGCTGTGGATCTGCTGCAGCCTGGCCTCCAGGGCTGGCCCCCGGCTTGTGAAAAAGCTGTCCGTGCACAAATCCAGTGGGGACGCCTGTGTCACAGGGAAAGCACGTTAGAAAGAGGCATGCTGAGCACATTGGACAGTGGCCAACTGGCTGACATGTTGTCTCCCAAGAGATATGGAAAACTGTCACATGCACTTTGATGCTATAGCAATTTAGCATACTGTTTTCTTCGGAGCAACAATGTGCAAACAGAGCTTTTAGATTAAGTCAGTGGAACTCGTAGCTGGCCCGTGTACCAGTGTTTGGGGAGCCCTTGGCAAGGAGGAGGGGCCGTGGCAGAGGCGCAGAATGGACGGAAGCGTAAGGTATACTTGGTTCTAAAAGCTGACAGTGCAGATTGGGCCCTGATGCCTCTTGGCTGTAATCCTAACTAGTCAGGAGGCTGAGATAGGATTGTAATTCGAAGCCAGCCAGAGCCGAAAAGTCCATGACGACTCTTTATCTCCAGTTCATCACCAAAAACCTAGAAGGGAAGGTATAGCTCAAGTGGTAGAATACCAGACTTAAATGAAAAAGCTAAGGGACAGTGCTCAGGAGCTGAGTTAGAGGGTCAAGCTGAGCCAATGTTTACAATATAACATACATTTGAAAGCTTATGATTCTTTTTTTAATCTAAGGTCTGCAAGGCACCCAGGGGCTCATGCCTGTAATCCTACTCAGGAGACTGAGATGGGAGGATTGTGGTACAAAGCCAGCCCAGGCAGGAAAGTCCATGCAACTCTAATTTCTAATGAACCACCAGAAAACCGGAAGTGGTGCTGTGGCTCCAAGTGGTAGGGTGCTAACCCTGAGCCAAAGAGCTTAGGGGCAGCACCCAGGCCATGAGTTCAAGCCCCATGACCGACAGAAAAATAAAAAATTTAAAACTTAAAAAAAATAAGAATACAAGGTATTCATATAATGGCATTCGTTTTGTGATGTGTCTGGGTGACGGGAAGGACTACCAAGGGGCCAGGCTTCTGGGGACAGACACCTGGCATCCAGGTGGCTCGAATCACAGCCCATGAATGCAGCTGACCTGGTAGGCATTTCTGAAGACATCCGGTACCCCGTCCATGAAGATTATGTCCCACAGCAGGAGGCCGCACAGGGTGCTGAAGGTGGAGCCTTCACCGTGGATCCCTACAGCACGACACACACACACACACACACACACACACACACACACACACACACACACACACACACACACACACACACACACACACACACACACACACACACACACACACACACACACACACACACACACACAGAGGAAAAACCAGTTTCAAGAAATACTGCCAATTCTGAAGCAAATGCTGGTTCTATGGCAGCCCTTGCTCGCTTGTTCGTGTTTTCCACTTTGTTCTTTGCATACGGCGTCTTTTAAGGGCAAGAATGTCAGTAACCAAACCCACTTTGCAAAGCCACAAAGTGATAGCTCCCATGCTCAGCGAATAATAAAGGAACATGCTCTAACAAGGCAGGTTCCAGCCCCGGACTCCGGGGCTGTGATGTAGCAGGGTTGGGCACTGGGTGTGGATTTTATAGGTGGCTCTGGTGCAGGAAGCCCCTAGCAAGCCTTGCTGGGAATTCAGAGCCCCGAGCGGCAGTGCACTCCTGTATCCTCAGACTTTCCATTCACCTGATCTGCCCATGTATTACGCTGCTTCGGCCTGAATGAAATACTAGGCAGGCTTTTTTCTTTTTTAAATTATTACTAGGTGATGTACAGAGGGGTTACAGTTGCAAAGTCAGGTAAAGAGTCATTTCTTTTTGGACAGTATCACCTCTTCCCTCGCTCTCTCCCAGTTTTTCCCTCCCATCCCCACCCGCAAGCTGTGGAGTTCATTTCCAGTGTCCAGTGAGTACTGCTGCTGCATCTGCCCACCCTTTCTCCCTCCACTTCGGTGCCCTGCCTTGCCCTCCCAAAGACAGATACATGAACAAAGAAGACAAAAAGAAAACAAAAACTACAAAGAAATAAACCTCTTGTTTCCATTTCCTGGAGTCCATTTCGATAAAGATTATTTTGTATGCACATAGGCACTGCACCTCTGTGTTCCTTTCCTAAGAGTAAAATAGGCAAGGCTTTTACACAAACCTTTGGCCATTCTATGCCATCTAATTCTGAATCTACACACCCACCCACCCACCCACACACACACACACACACAGTATTGACAGAAACAGCCTCAGAAAAGCTGACATGGGGGAGAGGGGCCTTGGAACAACCCCTTCCTTGTTCCCCAGAGAACCCCAAAACTCACCAAGCCCTCTGCAAAGTGGTTGCCCATTTCTCAGAGCAGCAGACCAGGGGAGGTGACTGTGTCCTGACCCCTATATGTGGGCAGACCCGGCAGCAGGACTCATGCCTGGGCCCGGCCTGCGGGCTCCCTGCTCCTATGGCCCGACGAAGAGCTCTGCGGAAAGCAGCAGCAACACAGCAGCAGCAGCAGCAGCAGCAGGTGGCTGCCTTCTCCTGTCTTGCAATCTGAGCTGTGGACTCATGCCTCTACCCCTCTCCGTCCTAACCCCTGTTCCTGAAGCCTGACTCTAGTCCCCGTGTCCTATCTCCGGTCCCCGTGGCATGCCTGGTCTCTGTGGTCTGTCTCCAGTCCCCTCGGCCTGTCTTCGGTCCCCGTGGGCTGTCTCTGGGATGCACGGCTGTCCACCCACACCCTGACTAGCTGGGCAGGGGAAATGTGGCTCCGTTTACCCTGGTCAAAGCCATTCCGTCTGTAATAGTCCAGCGCCAGCTCCTCCACGGAGCACAGGACTGCGGCGGGGGCAGCGCTGTCCCCAGTGTCGACGACGAACACAGATTTGCCCATCCCACGCTGCGGGCACAGCCTGCCCGTGATGGTCACCTGGGAGGGCAGAGGAGCACCGGTCAGTGGGGCCTCCGTGACGCGCCTGGCACCTGCCCGAGGCATCCTGAGGATAAAGACTCCTGTCCTGCTCCCCACCTGGCCCCAAAGCCACGCGCCAGCAGTGGGAGGTGGGGGGGGGGGGGTACGGTGGCCCTTGCTGGTGTCTCGAGGGCCTGCCAGCTCACCGCCTGAGCTCTGCAGAGCATCGACATGGAAGCCGCCCTACAGACCCCCAGGAACAGGGCAAAGAGTCAGCTGCTGCTGTGAATTCCTCCTCTCCTCGGGAGTCCGTCACCACCCGGTGCGCCTCGGGCTTCTCGGGAAGGGGAGTGATTAAGAATGAAAACGGGAGCCTGACCACTGTCCAATGTAAGTTCTAGACTGTTCTGAGGACAACAGAAAAGACACACACTCCCCAGTGCTAGCGGCTCACGCCTGTCAGCTGCTCAGGAGGCTGAGATCTGGGGGACTGAGGTTCAGCGCCAGGCAGGAAATTTTACATACTCTTATCTGCAATAAACCACCAAAAAAGCTAGAAATGGAGCTATGGCTCCAGTGATAAGAGTGCCAGCTTTGAACAAAAAAAAAACCAAAAACCCAAGCAAGAGCATGAGGCCATCAAAATGCACAGTATTCATCAACAGCCTTGTTAAATGGCAACTGCTTGTATAACTACTTAAAGATGATTTAAAAAATTAACTAAGTAAATAAAAATTTGCACCATTAAAAAAAAAGAACATGAAACCAAGTTCAAGCCTCAGTTCCTGCAAAACAACAACAACAAAAAAAGAAATCTAAAACTTCTTCAATTGGTTCTAGCCAGAACCAAAGTATATTTAAATAAGCAAACGTGTTTAAGCCCAAAAGTCCAAAGTCCTAAAGGAGAGCTGCAGAGACACAGCTCCCACGTGAGGCCTGAGATCACTCTAGAACAACAACAAAAAAACAGCCAGGCAAAGCACACTCACGTGTTTGACATCTTGCACCGACATTTCCGGCAGCTGGCGGAAGAGGTGCTGGTACTTTCTACAGCTGGGAGACTCGCGCAGGCGCACAGCTCTCTGATAGAGTGAAAGACGGTGACCTGTCCTTACTTCCGGATCGGCCAGCCCTTCGTGGATGCACCGGATTGCCTAGCACACAGCAGGTCACAGGTCAGGATCCCAACAGAGCCTACCTAGGTGTATAGCCATTCATTCCACAGAGACCCTGGCTACTCATTATTCAGATTTGCTAATTAGCAGACAAGCAAATAGCACTTTCAGAGACTTTGCTATCTCTGGGAGAAGGACCTAAGGGTTGTAGTTTTAATCTCTTGCTAAGGTTATCCAGAGTTGAACAAATCAACAGAAACACCAGAGCCACAAGAAGATACTACTGCACGCCCCTCCTGAGAGAGCCAAAGTCAGAAGCAAAGAATAACAAGTGTCAGAAGGATGTGGAAAAAATGCTCGCAGCCTCCCTGGCTGGAGGGAAAAGCGGTGCCAATGTCAGAGAGGATACTGTGCCATTTGGTCAAAAGTTAGTCAGATTACCACTTCATCCAGCCAAGTCCACCCATGGTAGAGACCAGAAGAAAGGGACTCAAAGAAACACTTATTCCTAATCGCTCATGGGAGCAGTACTCACAGTAGCCAAAAGGTGGTGGTAAATTTAGTGGCCACCTCCGGTGAACTAGGGGAACAAAAGAGGTCTTAGACAGATCATGGATCGGACTCAGCTACAAAAATGGATGGAGCTTGGAAACATTCTGCTAAATTAAATAAACCAAAAAACCAAGGGATAAGCCAGGCACTGGAGGCTCACAGCCCTAGCTATTCAAGAGGCTGAGATCTGAGGATCACGGCTTGAAGCCAGCTTGAGCAGGAAAACCAGTGAGACTCATCTCTCCAATTAATCACCAAAAAAGCTGGAAGCAGAGGTGTGGCTTCAATGGTAGAGCACCAACCTTGAGCGCAAAAGCTCAGGCACAGAGCCCAGGCCCAGGCGTGGCACAAAAAAAATAAATAAAAACAAATGTTTTAATGTTAATACTAAATGTTATATGATTCCAGTTATGTGAGATCTCTGAGTGTAAAAGCACGTTCATGGAGACAGAAGAGAGATTAGAGACCACCAGGGGGTCCTTGCTGGACAGAGTTTCTATTCTGGAGGAATAACTATAGATAGTAAGACAAAACTGTGGTTATCACCCTGGGCCATAGAACAACAACAACAAAGGTGAAAATGATAAATTCTATGTAAACATAAAACAATGAATGAGAAAGTGAGGGTGTCCGGGAGTGAAGACTTGCGAAAGTGCACAGAAGTGTGCTGCCCCCTGGCAGAAGAGGCTGGCAGCGCAGGCCTGGAGAAGAAGGCAGGTGCATATGAATGTACGCATGCGCACACGCGCGCGCACGCACACGCGCGCACACACACACACACACACACACACACACACAGGTGTGCACACTGAAATAATATGCATACTGTTAGCAGCTTGGATCTTGGAAGGTCACCTACCGAAAGCATGTAAGGAATGGTTATTGAATAAAGAGACCTGTGATCTTGGCCAAGGAGAGTGTTAGGGAAAGGCTAAAAAGTTACTACAAGTTTATTCTTTTTGGGGGGGGAGGGGAGAGGTCCTGAGGCTTGAACTCAGAACCTGAGTGCTGTCCCTGAGCCTCTCTGTACCCAAGGCTAGTGCTCTACCACTTGAGCCACAGCAACCACTTCCAGCCTTTTCTAGGTAGTTTTACTGAAGAGTCTTACAGACTTCCTGCCCAGGCTGGCTTTGAAACACAATCCTCAGATCTCAGCCTCCTGAGTAGCTAGAATTACAGGTGTGAGCCACCGGTGCAGAGCTAGAAGTTTCTTCGCATCAAGGGTGTGCGTGCGTGAGAGACATTTCTGAAACTTCACTAGAATGAAGGGGACAATAGATCAGACACACTCTCTCCCTTCAGGGCTTGGCTCTGACCAGACAGACAGACAGACAGACACCTCACCTCCCTTTGCTATTTCTGCCCCAACAAACACTGAGAGGAAAAAGAGAAACCACACCCACTCCTCAAACAGAAAAACATGCCCCCCCCCCACTTTTCCGGGGCCCCTGAAGCAACAGGCACCTTTTCAATGAAGGGAGTACAAACCCTGCTCCACATTCCACATCAGTTCTTTCCAGCCCTACCTCAGCCTGCTTTGCTTACTGCACCTCTGCAAAAACAAGACCACAACCTCCCTGGGGCACAGGCCTCTCCATTCAACTCCCAAGCAGGGTGGGAATGGAGACAGGGTAGGGAACCTCCCCCAACACCACCCCCCCGCAACACACACACACCCAAAGCCACACAAAGAGCCACTGTCCCTGCCTGGCCGCGCAGGAGCAGCCTGGGAAGCCTCACCCTGCCTGGCAACAGAAACTTTGTACTTCAAAGTTCAGTGCTGGCAGGATGGCCTGGCACAAAGACAGAACAGAATACCTCACTGAGCTGGGGCACCTGTGGCTGGTGCCTGTAATCCCAGTTATTCCAGAGGCTAGATCTGAAGGTAGAGGTTTGAAGTTAGCCAGGGCAGACAAACCCACAAACCCAAGACACTCTCATCTCCAATTAATCCACCCCTCAAATAAAGAAAAGACAAGAAAAGAAAAAGAAGTAGAGTTGTGGCTCAGGTAGAGGAGCGCTTATCCATGTGAAAAAGCCAAGGAAGAGAGGACAGGCCCTGAGTCCAAACCCCACACACACAAAACAAAACAAAAATCCTGCCTGACTACAGTCATTCACAAAGCACCAAGATAGGGAAAAGAACGTTTTTCCATCAGTATTTCTAGCTGGAAGCTGGATGGATAAAAAAAAAACCATTTCACCATTTCCAAACCAAAACAAACACCACCTTGGAACTCAGTGGTAAAGCGCATACCTGATGTGCACAAGGTCCTGGGGTTAAGTATCCAGAAGGGCAAAATTAAAACTCTACCTTGAAGGTGCCTGCTGAGGGCTGAGACCTCTGACCCTACTCCCAAGATCCCTAGACCCCAACTCCTGGATCCAAATGGAGCCAATGCCAGCCGATCTCCCTGGTCAGCCACCACAGGGAGAGCTTCTGTTGTTGTTTGTGGTGGTATTTGTTTTTGCTTTGGGGTTTTTCTTCTTAGGCGGGCAAGGAAAGGGAGGGAGGAATGATGAACAAATGCAGTCATGGTATTCAGTCCACACCATGTGGAAAGCGAAGGAAGGGGTGACATAGTGCAAAAAAGAAACGGGCTCCTTACCCGACTTATGAAATGGTAAGCCCTCTGTACAACACCTTGAGAACAATCAAGTCAGATTTTAAAAGACACACATGGTTAAATTACATTTAGTGTCTTCAAGTGTCTGGTAGGCGAGTAATGTAGCTCAGTGGTAAATAGCTTGCTTAAACATGCAAGGCTCTGAGTTACATTCCCAGCACCAAAAGGAATGAATGAATGAATGAATGAATGAATGAATGAGGCACTTAAAGGAACTGCTTCATTGTTCCTGTTTTCAGCAGTCTAGGGTTTGAACTCAAGGCCTTTGCTTGAGCCACACCTCCAGCCCTTGTTGGTGTGTGTGTGTGTGTGTGCATACCTGTGTGCGTTACAGGCCTGTAGTGTGTATGCATGTGTGCCTGTGTGTGTACACACATACCATACTGGGGCTGGGTGTTCTCCCGTATTCGTTCCCACTCCAGGCTGGTGCTCTACCACTTGAGCCACAGCTCCAGTTCCTGCCCTGATTTTTCAAACTCCCTGAAAATTCAACAGCGCTGCAGGGATCTCAGTACCAGTTCCGGGCGCTTGAGGTGCTGCTGCAAGTTCAGGGCCAGGCGATCCCACCATCGGCCTCGGCTGTCGGGGCAGTAAGTGTTCTGAGACAGGAGGCTTCGCAGTTCCTGGACGGCTTCCTAGGGTCATGATAAGAAAGACAGCACGTCAGCCTCCCCCACATCCACTGGGGTGACATGACAGGCCAGCCAGACTGGCCGGCGCTGAGCCCCAGGGCTGACAGGACAGGGATTCTCGGCGCGACAGGAGTTCTACTGAGCACCCCAGGCCCCGGCCTATGGGCACAGAGCTCCAGGGCTTCCGACTTTCACCAAGTCCCAGAGGCACCCAGGATCCAGCTGCAGACATGCTGCTGGGCACTGGTTAAGGGTGGCAAGCCCTTACCCTGCTGGGTGATGGGAGACCACAGGGATGTGGGGCAGGAAAGACAATAATGACATGGGTCGACATCCAAACATTCAGCCTCGACACAGATCTCCACCCTCAGATCTGCAAGCATGGACATAATATTTGCTCACTCTAGTCTGGTTTGTTTTGTTTTGTTTGGGGCTTGAACTCAGGGCCTGGGTGCTGTGCTTTAGCTTTTGCATTCAGGGCGTGGTGCTGCTCTACAACTCGAGCCACGAGTTCTAGCTTTTTTGGATGTTTAATTAAAGAGTCTCATAGACGTTTCTACCCAGAGCTGGATTTGAACCATGATCCTTAGATCTCATCATCCTGAGTAGCTAGGATAACAGGCGTGAGCCACCAGCACCCAGCTCTAGTGTAATCACTTGTGATTCACGATCTCTTGTAAACAAAGAATGATTTTTTTCTAGAAAGTGAAATCCACTGGACCCAGCAGTTTTGGGGTTCACAGATTCAGCCTCTTGAGGGCCAGGATGGTAGCTATGTATTCCCAGGTGCATAGATGACCTTGAGGTTCAATGACCCCAGCATTCAGCCCACTCTCCTGTTAGAACGCCATTCGGCAACAGAGAAATGTCACTTATAATCAAAGGGGGCTTTGGCAATGCTGAGAGTAAGGGATATCACTAAACTTCTGATCTGTCATCAGTGTCTCCACACAACTCGTAACAGTTGATTTGTAAGTGCAGGAGATGTGAGATTTCCACCCCAGAAATCTCTCAAGTCTCACACTGTCATACTCCTGTCTGGGCTTCCTGCTGGGTTCTATTCCTGACCCATAAGCCACCTCCACAGCCAAACCGCCAGGGGAGCCCACATGCATGCACTGCTCTACAGGGTGGGCACTGCTGAGCGCCAGTGGGCAGTCCTTCCTGTCACGTCACAGCACCAGGAGAGACAGGGTAGGCCCGGGTGCTCGAACCTCATACATGTGCAGTCTCTCCAGGATCTCCACAGCCCGTGACAAAATCCTTGTATAAATCCACCCCACGGTAAAACTCCGCAGAAATAGCGGCAGACCCTCGTGGAATCTGAAAAAATAAAATAAAGTGTATGCAGGTTATCTCATCATTTGATTTGTTGGGTGACAATTTTAAGAGGTGACGGCAGGGTAAGGACGGGAGGGACAAACTGGAAGGGAGAAAGGAAAGGGGTGACATTGTCCATACGGATGTACTCATTACCTGACTTACGTAACTGTATGAGGCCCTGAGTTCAAGCCCTGGTATCAGCACCCAATAAGAGAGTGAGCGAGCAAGCGACAGAGAAAGAGAGAGAGACGGGTGGGCGGTGGGAATGAGAGAGAGAACAAACTGAAATTTCTACTTTTCAAAAAGATGGATGAAGCCAGGAGCTGGTAGCTCATGCCTGTAATCCTAGCTACTCAGGAGGCTGAGATCTGAGGATTGTGGTTCAAAGCCAGCTGGGGCAGGAAAAGTCTGTGAGATTCTTTATTTCAAATGAACCACCAGAAAACGGAAGTGGAACAGTGGCTCAAGTGGTAGAGCACTAGCCTTGAGCAAAAGAGCTTAAGGACAGCGCCCAGACCCTGAGTTCAAGCCCCACAACTGACTGACACACACACACACACACACACACACACACACAAAGATGTATGACAAATACACAAATACTTTTGAGTTGTATATAATTTTATACATAAGTCTATACTGTCAGAGCCAGCTGGGGTCACCTAGTAGAGAAAGATAAAAATAGCCAGTAATAGGTACAATCCAAAGTCAAGTCCCTCATTTTCTAAGCCTTACAAACAAAAATGGCTTTTGCTTTTTATATGATCTATTTGAGGGATGGTTTGTTTTTTGTTGGTTTGTTTTTTTTTGCATTTTTACTGTTATTATTAAGTAATAGTACAAAAAGGGTTACAAGGGACTGGGAAGGTGGCTCAGTGGTAGGATGTTTGCCTTGCATGCCTGAGGCCCTGGGTTCGATTCCTCAGCACCACATAAGCAAAAAGAAAAAAGCCAGAAGTGGCGCTGTGGCTCAAGTGGTAGAGTGCTAGCCTTGAGTTGAAGAGCTGAGGGACAGCGCCCAGGCCCAGAGTGCAGGCCCCACGACCGGACCCAAAAAAACAAACAAACAACAACAAAAACAAAAAACAAAAAGGGTTATAATTCCATAAGTCAGATTATGAATACAATACTTCTTGGTTAATGTCACCCTTTCCTTCATTCTGCCTTTTACTTTTTTAAAATATTATTTTAAAACATACTTCACTATTTAATTCTTTAATATTTACTGCTGTTGTTATAATAATATTTATTATTATCATCATCATCATTGCTAGTACTAAGGCTTGAACCTGGCATTGCGCTTTCCCATAGCTTTTTACACTTCAGGCTGATGCTTTACCAGCTTTTATGTTTGATCCACACCTCCTCTTCTGGCTTTTTTTTGCTGGTTAACTGGAGGTACGAGTCTTTCAGACTTTTCTGCCCCAGCCGTCTTTGACCCATGACCCTCAGATCTTAGTCTCCCAATAGCTAGGATTACAAGTATGAGCCCATGGCACCTAGCCAAATCAATATTATTTTTGTTCTAGAATGTGCCTCTTGAATGTTTTCCCATTTTTCTCCCTACTACATTAACAAAGCAACGCATTTCTTTTTTTTTTTTTTTTTCCAGGGCTGAGGACCGAACCCAGGGCCTTGCGCCCGCCGGTAGGGCACGCTTCCAGTTTCTTCATAGGTTCGGAGGATGTTTACTGACATTCAACCAGGATAATGGAGGCTCCTGTGCACTTGGAACTTTGAAGGTCAAGGGTCACCTGAGCCATCTTTTCTGACTAGCATGACAGTGGGTTTCTCTGGGAAGCTCAAACCTCACACTCCAGGGCCTCCCTTGCATTTAAACTTGCCTCACCCGTACTCCAGGGAGCTGGCACCTCAAGAGACTGCAGCTGAAATTGAGTGTACTCCTGTCAATGTGTGCCATACTAGGCTCTGAATCCTAGGGGCTGAAGTATTTCCTTCTATTTCATACAGCACTTCTGATTCTATGCAAAGCGGGGTGGAAAACTTCCATTCTATCACAGGTTAGATCAGCAAAAGGAGTATGCTCTTCATGAATAAAATTATAGTAAGTGCTTAGAACAACAGAATCAGTAAGTCGCTTTTGGCCAGGACCTCCAGCAACCAAGCTCAGCGATAGGGTGCTTACTTAACCTATCCAACCCTCCATGGCAAATCTGCTACCCCCCTACCCCCAAAAAAGTAAGAAAACCCTCACCTCAGGGAGGGGTGACTTTTCAGTTTGTCCCAGTCCCCTTTTGCACGCTGACAGAGTTCCTTAGCTTCTTCCCAGTTCCCAGCGGCCACTGCGGTAGAAATATCACTCAGCATGTGCATGGCGGCTGCGTACCTGGGAAAAACAACATCCAAGAGGCATGAGTGAAGGGCTATCCCCACAATTCTTGCATCCTAGCCACTGCATCCAACTCTCAAGGCAAAAGCATGTCATACTTAATTTACTTGGGTGTTTGTGGTGCTGGTAATGGGGTCAAACTAAGGGCCTGGACACTATCTCTGAGCTTTTTTTTTTTTTTAACATTCAAGTCTAGCACTCTACTTCCAAAAATAGTCAAACACTTTGGACAGTGTCTTGGTTTGTGAATTTAATGTTGACAAGAAAAAACAAATAATGAGATCTCGCTTACAAGGTGTCCCAGTGAGTGAATGGAATCCTACCTGACAAGGTCCTCTCTGTCCTGGAAGATTCGGGTTCTCCGATGGATGCTGTAACGAGGAAACTGCATTCGGCCGAGATTGACCAGCAGAACGGTGGAGAGCTGGCCCTGACCGCCACACGCAGCTTCCTCATCTTCCACAGAGTCTGTCAATGCAAACAGCAGCAACACCCGGGAAAACACGGCCCTCGGGCCCTTACACACTCGGAGTGAGTGGCCAGCCAAGTCTTTAGCTCTAGAACAACAGAGAACACCTTTCTTGTGGCCCTCATTATTCTAAGCCAGAAGCAAATGTCTAACTTTCAGCTCTGTGACCATCAGGGCTACTTAACCTCTCTGAAGCTCAGACCCTACTCGGGGACGCAGAGAAAACCAAGCGTGTTCAGCCATCGTGTGGCTCAATGAAAGTGGTTCCTAGAGCTGGGAGCTTGTGGCTCACACCTGTAACTCTAGCTACTCAGGAGGCTGAGATCTGAGGATCATGGCTGGAAGCCAGCCCAGGCATGAAAGTCCGTAAGCCTCTTATCTCCAGGGCCAGAAGTGGCACTGTGGCTCAAAGTGGTAAAGAAAGAAAAAAAAAAGTATACAGATATCAATGGTAATGTGAAATGTTGTTTTCTTTTATAATAGCCAAACCTTTTTAAAATCACTGCTCCGATGCCAGGCTGACTCTTGCTCCACGTGCAGACCGAGCGCTGTTTGGCCAGTTTGAGCAAGGACTCTAACACCTGCTGTTTCTGTCCATTGGGATTCACTAAGTGGAAGGCCTTGGCCAGTGTTTTCAGTTCAGGAGCAGAAAGGAGTTCAAGTACTTCAGAGAGTTCTTGCAACTCAGACTCTGGAATGGTTAACAATAAGAATAGTTTTAAAAGCTGGACGCTGGTGGCTCACACTTGTCATCCTAACTGCTCAGGAGGCTAAGATCTAAAGATCACAGTTAGACGCCAGCCCCGGCAAGAAAGCCCATGAGAGCTGCATCTCCAATTAAGCACCAAAAAAGTAGGAAGTGGAGCTGTGGCTCAAGTGGTAGAGCACTAGCCTTGAGCAAAAGAAGCTCAGGGAGTGGCTGGGAAGGTTGCTCAGTGGTAGAGCGCTTGCCTTGCATGCCTGAGGCCCTGGGTTCGATTCCTCAGCACCACATAAGCAAAAAGAAAAAAGCCCGAAGTGACCCTGTGGCTCAAGTGGTAGAGCGCTAGCCTTGAGCTGAAGAGCTAAGGGACAGCGCCCAGTCCCAGAGTTCAGGCCCCACGACCGGACCAAGAAAAAAAAAAAAGCTCAGGGACAGCACCGAGGCCAAGTTCAAGCCCCAGGACTTACAACAACAAAAAATTAGTTTAAAAGCCTTTTCTGTTCACTCATGGAAGATAGAAGTTTACTTAGCCAGATGCAAATCAAATGAAAAATTACTGTAAAAATTCTAATTCGTTTGCTCAGAGTCAAAACTAGCTTGCCAAGAATGTATGTCCATGAAAGATGGGAAAGACGTGGCTGTTTTGCTCAAGGCTAATGCTCTACCATTTGAGCTACAGCTCCACTTTCGGATTTCTGCTGGTTAACTGGAGATAAAGAGGCTCACCAACTTTTCTGCCCAGGCTAGCTGTGAACCATGATCCTTTTATCTCAGCCTCCTGAATAGCTAGGATTACAGGCATGAGCCACTAGTGCCTGGTTTGTTGTTTTGTCTTGTTTTTTTGTTTTTTATAAAAGAAACAATTGTTGACAGGCATCAGTGGCTCACACCTGTAATCCTCACTACTCAGGAGGCTCAGAAGGTTCAAAGCCAGCCTGGACAGAAAAGTCCGTGACACTTTTTTTTTTTTGTCAGTCGTGGGGCTTGAACTCTGGGCCTGGGCTGTCCCTGAGCTCTTCAGCTCAAGGCGAGCACTCTACCACTTGAGCACAGCACTACTTCTGGTTTTCTGAGTGGTTTATTGCAGATAAGAGTCTCACGGAGTTTCCTGCCCAGGCTGGCTTTGAACCGTGATCCTCAGATCTCAGCCTCCTGAGTAGCTAGAATTACTGACACCTGGCTCCATGAGACTCTTATCTCAAATAATCACACCAGAAAAGCCAGAAGTAGAGCTGTGGCTCAAGCAGTAGAGCACTAGCTGTGAGCAATAAAAGCTCAGAGACAGCACCCAGGCCCCGAGTTCAAGCCCAGGGATTGGCACCAAAGAAAAAAAAAAAGAGAAGCAATTATTATTTAACTGGGACCAACCAAGGCGATGTGGCATTGCAAGTGAATCATTTCACAAAGCTATGAATCATACCTGTCTGTACAAAGTTTGCTCGCTTTAATTCTTCAATCACAGGAGTTAAATCGGAGGCAATCTCTTCATATTCTAATTTACTCGCCTTAATCCAGGTTAGTTTACGTTGAAAGAGCCTGACGTACAGCTTCTGACCACCAGCTGTAACAAAATTTGCCAACATTAAAATAAATATCATTTTTCTTCTCAAAAACAAATACAGATACTTTTTAAACATGAGCGGAATAAATATACTATGTGAGGAATTCACATATATTTGCCTTATGTGTAATAATGCCATCTTATAGTATAAACCCTTTTAAAAATTCCAAATTGGGCCAGGAGCCAGTGGCTCATGCCTATAATCCTAGCCTCTCAGGAGGCTGAGATCTGAGCATTGCAGTTCAAAGCCAGTCCAGGCAGGAAAGTCTGTGGGACTTTATAGCCAATTAACAATCAAAACAAGCTAGAAGTAGAGCTTAGGAACAGCTCCAAGGCCCTGAGTTCAAGCCCTTGGACTGGTACACACACGTAAAAAATAATTCTACATATGTTAGATCCAACCTATCTAATTAACCTAATTTTGGTGTTTTATTTTCCCCCTTATTTCCAAGAGTACCTTGAAATTTCTGCCACTTCAAAATGGTGCAAATGTAGTTTAAAATTTTTCAATATCTGTTTCTATTTAGTGTGTATGTATGTGTGTACCAATACTGGGTGATTAAACTCAGGGCCTCCAACTTGTACTTGGCCTTTTCTACTCAAGGCTGGTGCTCCTCCACCTGAGCCACACCTCTACTTCTGGCCTTTTGCTGAAAATCATGGATTTTCCTGCCTGGGCTGGCTTTGAATCATGATCCTCTAGATCTCAGCCTCCTGAGGAGCGAGGATTACAGGTGTGAGCAATAGGTTCCTAGTTCAGGCTGTATTTTTTTTTTCTTACAGACACAGTTGTTGGACCACTATCAGATACATGTATAAAGGAAAAAATAACTTCACCCAGTGCCATGAAAGTACGCTTTCAGCACAGACAAAACCAGGTCCCCAAACCCACCTCTACCTGCCTCTCTTTCTAGACACAAACTTTCTAAGAAGCAGATTCCCACAAGGACTTCTCACAAACTACAGCGCCCCCTTGTGGACAAGATGCTGCAGCCCCTCGCTTCGCAACTCAAATCCCCCAGAAAGCCAAGAGGAAGACACAAATTCCCAAGAAAACAATGTCTGAAGATACCTGATAATTGATAAAATCGGGTTATAATCTCCTTCTCCTGGTCATTGAAGAGCATCAGATCATCTTCATTCTCCAGCACAGCTTGGAGGACCATGAGAAAGCTCCGCAGGTAGTAAGGATGGCTGGGTGGGGTCTGAGGGGTCTCGCCAGGATGGCCCTCCTCCGATGATGGAATGCTACAAGTGACATCATTCCTTAAGCCCCTGTCAGCTTCCGGGGGAAGTGTGCAGACGTTACTCCACTTAGAAACATGGTCTGTAGAACTGTGAGAATTTGATTCTGAATTTGACAACTGTGTAGGGAGATTTGAACCCACAGCCACTTCTACCCTTTCATGCTGACATGCTTGGAGCTTTCCAGCAACTAGGTCATTCTCTTGCTCTCCGAGACTGTCTTCTGAACTTAACTTTAAATCATTCCTAAGTGTTAAAACCGGTGAACATAAAACAGAAGTATTATCTGAGCACCCAGGGCTGAAGGCTGACTCCACACATTCCCGGGCTGCCTTCTGGCCTCCATCTTCCATATGTTCCAGAATGTTCTCTCCCTTTGGCAAATCCCATGTAAACATATTTTCCTTTTGAGAACTGTTCTCGATCATTGGATTCTTGTCTTCAGTGTCTGAACAATGACTAGCCAATTCTTCATGCTTATCGAGTGACTTTTTAGCTTTTATGGATTTTCTGGACAATTTCGATGACAGGCTTCCCAACGAAATGATTTGCACACTATTCTTTTCCAAGTTATCTCGGGTTTTGTACACCAAAGCATCTTTATTTTTAAAGTAGGGACTGGTCTGTGGTTTTAGGCCCATTTTGGAAGAACCACTCTGGCCAGGAGTTAAATTTGTCTTTGGTGATGACAATTTCTTTGCTGTTCTTTCTTCTGTGGTAATGTCGGTTAAATCTGAAGTGGACACATCTGAATTTGTTAAGGAAACCTGAACAGGATCAGTGTGAATAGCATGGCCAGTGTCAGTACACAGTTGGTCAAGGTGCTGGTTTAATTCATACCTGGGGACCATCTTCCTACAAACTGGGCAGGCAATTCTGGCAGGTGGGGCATTGTTAAAATAGGAAATAATAGAGTTAGATGGGGATTTTGCTGCTTTGATGGTTGATAAGCGTCTGCAATGTCTCTTTGGGGCAGGAGATTTCCCCTCCGCCATCATAAATGTTAGAAAAAGCGCTACCTTTGGTGACAGGCAAGATTCAACGTTCGCCTTTTATTTTCTTGTCCTGAGTTAATAAAATGCGAGGTGTTGTTTGAACTCATGATTTTGGCTTAGGCAAGGTCTTCTTCCTACAAAATAAAACACATACACCTTAACGATGTGTTTATGGCCCGGATCACCCCCTGACAATCCTAGCTCCTTCAAGGGGAGGCTCGAGATCTGAGGATCTCAAGAAATCAGCCCCAGGCAAATCTGAGAAACTCATCAACTAACCAGAGGAGGCATGGCTCAGCCTGGCAAGGAAAAACCTAAGGGAAATCATAAGGGCCTGAGTTCATGCCTCAGCACTGGCGTCAGTGAGTAAAAGTGTGATGTTCTCTGGGGTGAGGTTGGAGGGGGCACCCCGCTGTGCGGGCATTTCCTTTCTGCCAGGACCCGGGGCCTGGCCCTCTCCTGGGTGATGCTCAGGGGCCACCGCCAGGCCTCTCGCCGGCCTTCGTGTCCGCGGCTAACCGCGAGGCTCTGCACGCGCGGCCTGGCCTCCAGCCGCCGTCCTCGGGTCTCGGCCTCACGTCGAGCCAGGCTCACAGGCCTCGGTGGGCGGGCACTCTGCGCGTCCCTTCCCAGTGTCAGCTTCACATCTGGGGGTCACTCTGTCCTGGAGCCATTGTTTTTCGGGGTGCCCGCACCCCCCCCCCCCGCGCCCCCCCATCCCAGGCCCGCGCGGCCCACGTGGGGGGGGGGGAGTCTGGAAACACGCATGACTACCCCCGCCTCGGCTGCCCCCCGCGGGGCCACGCGACCCCGCCCCCCGCGCCCCGCGCCCCGCGCCCCGCGCCCCGCGCCCCCCGCGCCCCGCGCCCCGCGCCCCGCGCCTCCCACCTGGCTCCCCGCGCCCGCGGCCCAGGCATGTCCAGCCGATCCCCGCAGTCTCGATCTTCACAGGCTCTGCAAGTGGACGCCAGAGCGATCGATCTCTCCAGCTCAGGGAGAAGCTCTCTCGTAGGCTAAGGGCTGAAATCCGGCTCCGTCCTTCCTTTGACCCCTGTGGGGACCGGGCGGGGTGGAGGCTGCCTGCCCAGGGCGCCCCGTCCAGGCCGTATATTATACATTATGTATTAGTTATTCTAAAAATCATTATATAGACTATAGTGTTATATATAAAATATGTATTAAAAAGCATGCATGTTACATAATATGTATTATACCGATATGTTAATATATATTGATATACTGCAATATTATATATTATGTATATATATGTAATGTACATTATATATTACTTATATTCAATACAGTTATATATCAGTAACAAAAAGGATAGGAGAATCAATGTTCAAGAAGTCAATGCTCAGGGATCTTGGGTTTTATATCAAGTATAGCATTTAAGGACTCATTACATTTGTAATTTCTTATACAACTAAGTCTTAAGGCACAGGAGTAGAGTTAATATGCTCATAGAGAAATGAAAATCAAGATCAATGAATTGACTGATTTGGTTAAGAAGGCAGAAAAAAGGAGCAAATACACATGTACTCATTACTTGACTTACCCCTCCTGTACCTCACCTTTATAATAACAATTTAAAACAATAAAACCTTTAAAGAAAACAATAGTAAAACCAAGTATAATCAGGTTAATATATTAAATGTGTACTGACTATTCCAATCATGGAATGATTTTTCTTCATGAAATCTTAATACTAGCAAAATTAATAAACGGTCCATGGGTACTTGTGTATGTAGCAAAACACATACAAATGTTAAGGAAAGGTCAGCACCCAATTGGAGAGGTTAAAAGTGAGCCCTCTCTAGAGATCAGTCTCCCAAATGCTGGGATTACAGGCATATACCATCATGCTAGCACCTTAAAAAATGTTCCATCTTTAGTGTGTGTGTATGTAGGTGTGTACTAGTATGCAGATCCTAAGACTTGAATTCATGCTTTGCATTCTCGCTCAGCTTTCTTGCTTATGGCTACCCCTGGAGCCACTGCCTCTCCAGTCTTGCATGTTGCTGGTTAATTGGAAATGGAGTCCTGCACTTTCCTGTCCAAACTAGCTTTGAACCATGATCCTCTAGATCTCAGCCCTCTGAGGAGTTAGGATTTGGGGTGAGCCATGGTGCCCAGCTTCCACCTTTTCTTTTCACCTGGCAATGGGGATTAAACCGAGTCTCATGTATGCTAGGACAGGTAGGAACCATCTGCTCAATTTATCCCTCCTACCAATAGGGATAAATTGCAAAAATGCTAGGGGCAGAGCAAGAATCTAGAGTATAGAGCAAACAGACTGAGGTATCTCCCACTGATATACATTCCCAAACCCAGATGTGAGCAAATTGTCCTTCATATACATAATGAATCATCACTGATCTATACGAACTCTTATAAAATAATAAGGGAAAAAGAATTACAAGGAGACTGGAAAACACAATTTTAAAAGAATTGCCAAAATAGCAACTCCCAGGGAAATGAAAACTTCGCAGGTTTCGGGAGACCAGGGAATTCTTTCGAAAAAATGATTTTTGCTGAGTAGACTAGTGAAGAGAGAATTCTACTTGGACTAGAAGTTGGGACGTTGCATTTCTGTGTTGATGGGGAGCTAAATGTAAATGTTGGCCCCCAAATGTTCTGGGCCCCAATTTACTGACCAGTGTAATGGAGGGGGCGGTTTAGCCAAGGGTAGAACCCTTGCAGGTATAATTAGTCTTTTGTTTTATTGTGCCCATCCTGGGGCTTGAACTCAGGGCTTGGGCACTATCCCTAAGCTTCTTTATGCCAGGCTAGTGTTCTACCACTTGAGCCACAGCTCCACTTCCTGCTCTTTAGCAGGTTAAATGGAGATTAAAAGGTCTCAGACTTTTCTGCCAGCTGGCTTTGAATCGTGAGCCTCAAATCTCAGCCTCCCAAGCAGCAGGACTTGCCAAAAGATGCAACAGCAGGGTGCCATCTTGAAGTGGAGCCTCAGCCCCACACCAGACACCAAATGTAATAATGCCTTGTCTTAGACTCCCTGGAACCCAATACTGGAAGAAGCAAATTATTGTCCATAAATTGTCCCAATTTGGTGATTTTGTTATAGTAGCCCAAGCAAACTAAGAGAATGGATGTTTCTTCCAGCCCCACACAGCCTGGTTCTATCCTGCCACAACCAGCTTCTGCATTGATAAAGAAACCAACACAGACCTTCTTTCCCCTCTGATTAGTTTCTGCAGATGAAAAACCAGAAGGGAAATCCAGGAGTGGTGACTCACACTAATGTAACTCCAGCTTCTGGATTGGGGGAGATCGGGAGTATCCAGGTTGGAGGACAGCTTGGGCAAAAAAGCTCATGCGACTCCTGTGTTAATAATAGGTAGGGCATGGAGGTGGCCACCAGTAGGCACAACTACAAAGGAGGCTTAGGAAAGTAGTTCAAAGCCAGGTTGTGAAAAACATGACTCTATCCACACAAGTAACTAAAGCAGAGAGGAGCTGGTAAGTGAAAAGGTCGAGTTCAAATCTCAACTCTACCAAATAAAAAAAGTGCAAGGGTTCCGCTGAGTTTTGCTCTCATTCTCTACCCAGCTGGACGTATGGGCTGTATTGCATGTATGCAACTCAGCATCTCACTCTGGACAGTATTTTTTTTCTGTTGGTGGGGCTTGAACTCAGGACCTGAGCGCTGTCCCTGAGCTCTTTTTGTGCAAGGGTGGTGCTCCACCACTTGAGCCACAGTGCTGCTTGCAGTTTTCTGGTGGTTCATTGCAGGTAAGAGCCCCTTGGTGTGCGGAGAGGCTGACTCTGCCCGCTGTGTCCTCCGCCTGCTGGCCAACCCGCATCGCTAGCGTGCCCACAGCGGTCTGGCCTCCGGCCAGGCTGGGACCATGGGGATGTGTGTGAACAGTTCTGCCAGCGCCAGGTCTTCAGCATGCCAGGCACCCAGACAATCTCCCCAAATGCACTGCAGACTCTATCACTGCACACTGTGGAAGTCTGAAAGAGTGGCCATCACGCAAAAAAAGGTCTCAGACAACAGATCATAAGCTTACACATTTATATATACAATATATTTCAAATATATTACAGCTTTAACTTGTGAACAGAAATATCCTGCATTTTCTTCTTTTTCTTTTCTGGTTTCTTTGCATCATTGATCTGCATTTTTACTTGATCTTGTAGTCTAGAGAAGAATGCTTGGGAAGACTTTAAGGCCTTGTCTTTCTGTTCATCCTGCCATAAAAAACAAAAATACACATGAGCTGCAAATATGCTTATGTGTGGGGAAACCTCAAGTATAATATTACAGCACAGTATAGAAGAATAAATGACTAACTACTAGGGTTATAAAGAACTCAAGCAGTTTGCATAAAAGATTCTCGGAGCCAGGTGCCTATGGCTTCCATCTATAATCCTAGCTACTCAGGAGGTTGAGATCTGAGGCTCAAGGTTCAAAGCCAGTGTGGGGAAGAAAGTCCATGAGTCTTTTACGTCCAATTAATCAAAAAAGCCAGAAGTGGCACTGTGGCTCAAGTGGTAAGAGTGCCAGCCTTGAACAAAAAAAGATTAGGGACAGCACCCAAGCCCTGAGTTCAAGCCCCAAGACTGGCACCAGAAAAAAAGAGAGAGAGAAAAAAAAAGGTTTTCTGTACCTTCTGCTACAACATTCTTGTAACTTGTGGGGGAAAGAAGTACAAGGAAACTGCTGTCAGCCCTCTGTGCTTACCCCAGAAGCACACAGCAAGTCACCACGGGGGCCCACAGTGTGCGACCCCAGGCTGTGGCCTGAGAGGAGTCAGTGGACGCTGCACACCCCCAGCCCCCAGAGCCCTCCTCCCTCCCCACCCTTACCTTTAACAAGGCCACTTTGCCGGTCTTGGTCAGATGCTTTAGCTTCTCGGAAGCCGCTGCTCTGCTGAATTTGCCTGCCTGATCTGGGTTGTTCTTCTCCAACAACCTTCGCCGCTTCTCCTTCTCTTTTATTTTCCAACGCTTCTGGAGTTTCTTTCTCCTCCGTTCCCGTTTCTTGTCTGTAGCTGTTTTCTCAGCAGCAGTTTTTAGATCTCCACCTTTATTTTTCTCCTATTAGAAAACCACCACCAACACACCAATTAAACCTAACTTCACATCAACATGGGGATCAGAAGCAAGAAGGGGCCTGGAGGCGAAGAGGGCGGGCGGTGCCAGGCCTGTGCCAGAGCTTTCTGCTTTCTAACTCCAAACTTGAATGTGTTCTTGGGCAGGGCAGACTCAGCAACAGCACAGAGCTGAAGGAAATGGAGAGGCAGCGGGGACAGCTGGGGCAGCGTGCACAC